GCTCCCATTAAGAACCAGCGGTCTACTAGGACCTATAGCTTCACATCTCTGTCAGCCTGAACCACATCCTCTGGGTACTGAAAAGCAGAATAAGTCCATGGAGAATTGGTTTTAAAGGATTCACTTAATGAATGGAAGGCTTCCTTTAATGATGAAAAAAACCCCACAAAATTAAAGCCTGTGGTGTCAACATACAAAACAGATGGTGGCTTACACACGGAAACAGAACATCTGCTCGGTTCTGGTGTGCCTTAGACCCCTAGTACTGCTGCCGAAGCCACACAGCTTTACTACACAGTTGTTGTTGTTGTTGTCAAGTGTTCTCGAGCCAGTAGCGACCCTGTATGGGGTTTCCAAGGAGCAGCTGGTGGGTTTGAACTACTGACCTTGTGGCTCACAGTCACTGACCCCAATTAGTGGATTTAAACTCCAGAGATCTCTCAAAGTAAGTAAAACATTGTCTTTGGGCATTTCCCCCAATGTGTGAGGGCTTTGGAATGATCCACAAATGGAACCTTGCTTGAAATAATACGAACAATCATTCTCCGTACAGATGAATACAGCTCAAGGCCAACTATCTATTACTGGTTATTTAAAACTACTTCTAAACATGGGCCACTTCTGATTGAGTTAGACCCAGTGGTGCATAATCTAAGTAATGACGTATATAGGGTTCATGCGCCAGACTGCAAAGCCAATTGAACTACAAAGGTGGTGGGTTAAGCTTACCAGCTGCTCCTTGGAAACCCTATACAGGGTCACTATGGGTTGGAGTTGACTCAACAGCACTTAACAACAACAACAATAGCTATTTTGGCTAATTTCCCTCAAATGTAATGATCTTGAATATAGAAGCTCAGTCTTAAATAGTAAAAATGTAGAGATATTCTGAAGCTGTTTCAAGAACATTTACTTTTTGGTGAGCATTCATTCTAATTCTCCTAAACATCTAATTTACGTCTTCTGCATGCGCCTTCTATGTCTACTTGCGGTCAGAATTCATCAGGAACATTGGAACGCCTTGGCTGGATGGTCAATGTGTTGAAGAAATAACACTGTTTAGTAAAAATACACTGCGCACACACACAAAAAGGGATAACACAAAGCAGGTCTATGAAGTCCAGTTTATACCAATTCCTGGTCAAAGCTGGGATTGGCAGACATCACCGAGTGTAGTTTTGAACAGGCGCCTACTGGAACAAACTGAAGCAGTTGTCTAAGGTGCTGATGAACGTTTTATCCCATTGACCCAATGAGTTCCTGTCAACCATCTACTCTAGACAGGCTCTGTGGTGCTCACTGAGGATCGAACCCAAGAACACAGAACAGGGGCAAGGGAAGGTTCGAGGAAGTCTGCATGGAGGACCAAGAAGGCCTTGTGTGAGTTCAGCAGGGGGCGTGGGTGGCTCCCGTATGTTTTATGACGTTATTAAGGAGGAGACAGGTCTCTGGAGCCCCATGTTTTAAATTCATTAGGTAGCTTGAATGTCATTAATTACTGTCATAATTTATCACAAATTACAAACCTTTGGAAATAACGTCTTTGGGCAAGGAGTTCTCTACAGCACAGATCCGCAGGAAGGTCAGAATGGCTACCAACCCCTTCTGCACAATGAGTTGAGGAGGGAATTCCAGGGGGCAGTGTCTCAAGTTCAGGGCTTTCAGTGTGCTCAAGTTCCCTGCAAGCAGGAAGAATTCCGTCAGCATTTTACCTTCACTTCTCAGGAACAAAAACAATCAAGAGGTGATGTTGTGGTTGCTAAATGCCACCACACCACTCCCCCCAGAGGTGATAATAACTGTTCTGACCTTGAGGAAAACAACACCACCTGACTGAGTATGGGGGGCAATATGACAGAAGTCTGAGACTTGCTTTTACAAATTCCACAGTGGAGACAGACTGAAGATTAAAGCTGTGCTAGTTATAAAAAATAAAATGAAAAAAATAAAGCAAGCGGCAAACAGACTTGAGGTCGAAATCAGAACACAAAGTTGTTATATTAGCTAAAATGTCTGAGTCTCAACATGGAATAAGGATAATGTAAATTATACTTAGGGCTACGAACTGGTTTGGACTGGTTCAATCCCGATCAACAGAAACGAAGGCAGTGTTGTTGTCGTTTGGTGCCATTGAGTTGGGCTTGGCGCCATCCTCACAATTGCCGCCACCACCGTGTCAGTGTGTTGCACACCAATCATTTTCCTTGTGTGTCAGATTTTGAGTGTGGTGTTGTGGGTTAATGCGTTTGAAGTGCAAGGTTGGCACTTCAAGCTCACCAGCTGCTCTTTGGAAACCCTATACAGGGTCACTATGGGTCGGATCGACTCAACGACACTTAACAACAACAACAGGCAACAAGAAACAGTACCCTACTCAAAGACGGTGGCCACCTGCTTCCGGCTTCACTTTGTATGTGTGTGGTGGCATAGTCAACTGCCAACGTGAGCAGAGCACCTCGCATGTTTCCTGTTATTGTCGTATTAGGTTCTGCTGAGTGGGTTCTGACTCACTGTGACCCTCCGTGGTTGTGCTGGTGTGCCATGGAGTCGGTTCTGACTCACTGTGACCTTCCGTGGTGGTGGTGGTGTGCCATGGAGTCGGTTCTGACTCACTGTGACCCTCCGTGGTTGTGCTGGTGTGCCATGGAGTCGGTTCTGACTCACTGTGACCCTCCGTGGTGGTGGTGGTGTGCCATGGAGTCGGTTCTGACTCACTGTGACCTTCCGTGGTGGTGGTGGTGTGCCATGGAGTCGGTTCTGACTCACTGTGGCCCTGCATATGTGTTTCCAAAGCTGTAAATCTTTACGGAAGCAGAACGCGTCATCTTTCTCCTGAGGAACTGCTGGGAGTTTCGAACTGCCGACCTTGAGGTTAGCAGCCCGACTCGTAACCACTACACCACCAGAGCTCCTTTTGTACGACAGAACCAAACACTGCTTGTGTTCCGCACCGTCCTCAGCATCATTGCTGTGTCTGGACCCACTGCTATAGTCCCAGTGTTAATGTATGGGTCTTCCTCTTTTCAATGAGCCTCTGCTTTACCAAGCATGATGTCCTTCTCCAGGAAAAGGCCCCTTCCCCAAAACATGTCCTCATTCCTAAGAAACATCCCATTGTACTCTTTCCAAAACATTACCTGTTCATTCTTCGGGCAGCCCATGGCATACTGTTGTTGTTGTCAGGTGCCATCGAGTCGGAACCGATGGCATACTAGTCTTTGCAAACACTGTAATTCAAAGGCATCAAGTTTAATTTGGTCTTCCTTATTCATTGTCCAGCTTTCATGGTTTGGGTCAGATGCATCTTAGTCCTCATCTTTGCTTTCTAACACTTTCAAGAGGTCTTTTGTAGCAGCCTTGCCCAATGCAACGTATCATTTGATTTCTTGACTGCTGCTTACATGGGTGTAGACTGTGAATTCACGTAAAATAAAATCCCTGACAACTCGATATTTTCTGTTTATTATGATGTTGCTTCTTTGTCCACGTGTGAGGGTTTTTTATTTTCTTTACACTGAGTTGTAATCTTTACTGAAGGGTGTAGTCTTTGATCTCCATCACCAGTCGTTCAAATCCTCCCCACTTTCAGCAAGCAAAACTTGTGTTATCTGCCTATGGCAGGTTGAGTCTTCCTCTAATTCTAATGCTGAGTTCTTCATCGAATTTAGCTTCTCATGTTATTTTGTTACTTTCTGAGCATACAGATTGAATTAGTATAGTGCAAGGATCTAACTCTGATGCACACTTTTCCTGAATTTCAAACCATGCAATATTACCTTCTTCTGTTCGATTTGCCTAATGCAATACGTCATTTGATTTCTTGACTGCTGCTTCCATGAGTGTTGATAGTTGATCCAAGAAGAATGAAGTCTTTGACAACTTCTATCTTTTCTCCGTTGATAAGAATGTTGTTTATTGATCCCGTGGTGAGGATTTTTGTTTTCTTTACATGGAGATGTAATCCATACTGAAGGCTGTGTTCTTTGATCTTCATCAGTAAATATTCTAAGTTCTCTTTACTTTCAGCAAGCAAAGTTGTATCATCTGCATATCAGAGTTTGTTAGTGAGTCTTCCTCCAATCCTGATGCCACATTTTTTCTTCATATGACCCAGCTTCTCAGATTATTTGCTCAGCATACAGGTTGAATAAGTATGGTGAAAGAATACAACCCTATCACACACCTTTCTTAATTTTAAACCATTCACTGTTCCCATGTTCTGTTTGAACAACTGCCTCATGGTCCATGTTCAGATTACTCATGAGTTCTGGAATACTCATACTTCACAATGTTGTCCTTAGCTTGTCATGATCCATACAATCGAAAGCCAATCGAAAACACAGGTAAACATCTTTCTGATATTCTCTGCTTTCAGTCAAGATCCATCGGACATCAGAAATGATATCCCTCGTTCCACGGCCTCTGAATCTGACTTGAACCTCTGGAAGTTCTCTGTCAATGT